GGGGCTGGAGAGATGGCTCAGTGGTTAAGAACACTGGTTGTTCTTGCAGAAGACTTGGGTTTGAATCCCAGTACCCACATGGCAGCTAACAACTGTCCATAACTCCAGTCCCAGGGAATCCAACAGCCTCTTCTGACCTCTGCAGGCATTGCACAACATGGGTACACTTACCTACATGCAGGCAATACATGCATACACATAAAATAAAAAAATAATAAATTTAAAAAAAGTGTGTGTGTGTGTCTGTCTCTGTGTATGTACACTGTGTCTGTGTCTGTGTCTCTGTGTGTTTGTCTGTCTCTGCCTCTCTTTCTCTGAATAGCCCCAAACCAAATGGGGCCCCAGGCTAAGCTATCTCCTGTGCCAGCCTCACCCAGAATCCATATGAAAGTTGGATACAGCAGCTCACAGAGCAGTTCATGAGCTTGTCATCCTTGGGCTTTCAGCAGAAGATGGGATCTGGAGACAGGAGAATCTGGAAGCTCATGTGACAGCTAACTGACGTGTGCTGCTGTGAACAATGAGGCGCCCCATCTCAAGGTGGAAGGCAGGGATGGACACCCGAGCTTGTCCTCTAACCTCCACATGTGTTCTGTGCTTTGCTCACATCGAAACTCTCTCTCTCTCTCTCTCTCTCTCTCTCTCTCTCTCTCTCTCTCTCTCTCTCTCTCTCTCTCTCTCTCTCTCTCTCTCTCTCTCTCTCTCTCTCTCTCTCTCTCTCTCTCTCTCTCTCTCTCTCTCTCTCTCTCTCTCTCTCTCTCTCTCTCTCTCTCTCTCTCTCTCTCTCTCTCTCTCTCTCTCTCTCTCTCTCTCTCTCTCTCTCTCTCTCTCTCTCTCTCTCTCTCTCTCTCTCTCTCTCTCTCTCTCTCTCTCTCTCTCTCTCTCTCTCTCTCTCTCTCTCTCCTTGAGTAACTTCCTTATAACCAGCAAAATTCAGCAACATTGAGGACATCAAGCTGTGCTGAGACCAGACTTAGCCGCTCCCTCTGCTGGCTTTGATGCAGCCACTCCCTAGTTGTCCAGCTGGGGAGTCTGGAAATCAAGCCCCAACCTCCTACTTGGTGCCACAGGCAGTCAGGACCTGGAGCCACAGTACACACCACAGAGGAAGCGCGCCCTGCCCGCAATCACCGAGCAAGCTTGGAAGTGTATTCTCCAGCCTGGAAGTGTGTTCTCAGCCAGCTCTGCCTGATGATGAGATCACAGGCCTGGCAATGCTGTGTTGCCTTTGGGAGACACTACAGCTGGGGATGTGGCCCAGTGGAAGAGCAATTGCCTAGCTTGTGCAAGGCCCTGGGTTTGGCCCCCGGCTGTGCAAAAGAGACCGGGAAGCAGAGGATCCAGCTAAGTTATTCCTCAATTTAAAAAAAGTTTTCTCTTTTGCAAAATTTTGCTTTGCTTTGTTTTAGACAGGTGTCCTTATGTAGTCCAGGCAGACCTCAAACTCATGGCAATCCTCCTGCCTCAGCTTCCCAAGTGTTGGGATTACAGATGTGGACCACCATGTCTGGCTCATAATGTGTAGTGTGTGTGTGTGTGTGTGTGTGTGTGTGTGTGTTTGTGTGTGTATGCACATGTATGTGTGTGAGTTATATGTACACATCTATGTACATACTGAGGCCAGAGGAGGATGTTGGGTGTCCTGCTTTGTTATTTTTGTTATTAGCGACTTAGGGTTTCCCTCTGAACCTGGAACTAGCCTGGCAACCTTGCTGGCCCTAGTGATCTGCCTTTCATAGAGCTGAGGTTGTAGATGTTTGTGGTCATGCTCAGCTTTTTCAAAGGTGTTAGAGATTTGAATTCAGGTCCTCATGCTTACACAGCAAGGGTTCTTACCCACTGAGCCATCTCCCCAGCTCTAACTCCCTTTTTGATGCAGGTTTTACCTCCGGGGTATCATCTAATTGGTTAAGCAATCTCTGAGTTGCAGAGGGGGATTTGGGTAAAACATTGAATGCCAAAGCTAGCAGGGCTCAGAGGTCATCTGATGAGGGGTTTTCAAACTGTGTATCTTGGACCCCTGGGGCCTGTGGCGGTCTACAGGAATTGATGGGAAAGAGGTTGAGCCAGGTCTCAAGTGATTTAATTCCAGCATCTGTTTCATATGTGTTTCTTAAGCTTTCTTAAGAGGATCATTTTCTAGCTCAAGCCTTTCATTTTACAAATAAGAACATGAAGACCCAGACAGGAAGTGATTGCCTCTAGGTGGTGGGTGACCTGGGACTGGTGCATCATCCAATATTCATTGTCCTGTTTGAGAGAGGAGGCGAAGTGGGGGGTGTGAGCAGTTCTCAGTCAGTGACTTCTGCCCGTCTCTGACCTTTTTCTTGGATGTTGTTACAATTTGGGAAAGAAGCCAGAACTAGGGGAGGATGGTGAGCTGGGGAAAGGCTGATTTTTTCCTCTCGTGTTAGTATTTTGTTGTTTTGGGATAGAATCTTGCTAGAGAGCCCTGGTTGACCTGGAACTCACCAGTCTATGCATTTCCTGAAGTGTCTGACAGAGGGCGCCTGTGACACTTTCTGAAATTCCTACTGATTGACAGGCCTGGGACAAGCAATGGTTTCGGATCACTCAGATGACAGCAGAAGGTGCCCAGGAAGGTCTCCATTCTGTCTCGCTTCCCAATGCCTCAGATAGGACGGGGATGGGTGCTGGTACATCCTGTCCAATTGTCAGGCAGTGCTTTCTACTCATTTAAGATGATTAAGCCCTGTGTCTGGGCATTTCTCAACCGAATGGGACCACAGTAAGGACCTAGTAGCACCAGGAATGGGTGGGAGCCTGGACACCGGTGAGGGGACATTAGGAATCATATGCAGCATGGGTGAAATCAGAATACAGGCCTCAGTCAGTAAAGTGCCTGCCAGCTGAGTTAGATCAGGAACCCCAGGGCGTAGAGGTGCCTGCTCGTAATCCTAGCACCAGGGTGGCTCACTAGCCAGCCTCGCTGAACTGATGATCCCCTGGCCAGTGAGAGACTCTGTCTCAAAAAATAAGATGATTGATGCCTGAAGATTGCTCCCGCCCCCAGGGTGACCTCTGGCCTTTCATGCAATCACACGCCTCACAAGGTACTTTCTCAGTAAATGTTTAAAATGTATTTAAATTAGCCTATGCTGAAACAGAAACAACTTTTATTTGGTTTAGTTTTTTGAAACAAGATCTCACAGTGTTGTCCAGGCAGACCTCACACTCACGGCAGTCCTGCCTCAGCCTCCCTAGTGCTGGATTGTGGCACACCACTGTGGTTGCCTCACACGTTCTTTGATTTACTCATCTGTGTGGTTTTCTGCAGTTGGTTCCTAGAAACAGCTTTTGAGTGGGATTTCCTCCTTGGAAAAACATAGGGAAGTGAGTTTTGCCAACAAAGCTGAGCTTTAGATAGTTTGAATGCGCACCCCAAGATTGGCATGCTGCAAACTGGTGGTATTGAGGATGGAAGGGAATCAGTTCTTTGGGAATCACCCTCAGGAGGGTGGGACTGTGTTTAGCTCTCATAGAGCAGGTTGTTATAGAAAAGTGAGCCTGATGCCAGGTGTGGTGGCCCACAAATTTAATCCCAGAACTCAGGAGGCAGAGGCAGGCAGACCTCTGTGAGTTCAAGGCCAGCCTACTCTGCATAGTGAGTTCCAGGCCAGCTATGATTAAAGGAGTCCCTGTCTCAAAAAGACAAAAAAAAAAAAAAAAAAAAAAAAAAATGGTTTGGTGGTGCTAAGCCTGGTCCCCTAAGTTCCCCTTTCCTCCTGTTTTACCACATGGTCCTGTCACTTGTGGCCGTTCCCTTTCTAATCCCTACGATATCATATACTCATAGAGTCTCTTGCTAGGAAACCTGTGTAATGCTGTTTGAACCTCCACCACTAGAGTCATGAGCCAAATAAAATGGTTAAGTACCCACTTCAGATATCTTTGTTACAGCAACAGAAAACAGGCCAAGATAGTGCCCATCTGTGATACTTAGTCTTTCAAAACCTTTTTTGATTTATATTTTTATTTTATGTGTTGGAGTGTTTTGCCTGCCTGTATGCAAGAGCACCTTGTGTGCAGTCTCCATGCAGCCCAGAAAAAATGTTGGGTTCCCTAGAACTGGAGTTATGGATGGTTGTTAGCTGCCATGTGGGTTTTGGGAACTGAATCCTGGTCCTCTGCAAGAGTAGCCAGTGCACTTAACTGCTAAGCCATCTCTCCAGCCCCTATGATGGTTAATGTTGATTGTCAAATGATGGGATTTAGAATCACCATGGAAACAGACCTCTGAGGGAGTTTTTAGATTGGGCTAATTGAGATGATAAGTCCATGCTAAATGTGGGGTACATCATTCCACCACTGGAGTCCTATAATGAAGAGGAGAAAGCCTGCTGAGCACCAGCATTCGTCTCTCTTAGCTTCCTGATTGTGGATGTCATGTGACCAGCCTTCCCCATCATGATGAACTGTACTTTCTAAAACTGTGACCCGAAACAAACCTTCCTTCCCTAAATGGCTTTTGCCAGTTATTTTGTCACAGCAACAATAAAAGTAACGAAGACACCATCCATGGAGCTGAAGGAAGTAATGTGAAACATCGGAAAGGGCTACCTTGGAGCCAGGCCGAGGCTTCCTCACGGTAGGAAGGAGCAGTTGCTCAGAGCGGGGCTAGTTCAGCACCCAGAGCGCAGGTTTGAGGACATAGCAGCCTGGGTTTGCATACTGCCTCTGCCACCACTGACAGCCCCCGGGGCCTCTACTTTGTTTTCACATAGTGATGGTGCCACTCCACCACAGCAGGTTCAATGCACCAGTGTACAAAGACTTCCTAGAAAAATGCAGAATGAAGAAAAGCTTCCATTCACCCTCAAAACATGGTGGGTTTCACCATGGTTGAGTGGCTGGCAGGGTCCTGTGTCTTCCTGCCATACACACGAGGGAGCCCCCCGCCAAGGGCTGAGGGGTGCAGTCCATCCAACTCCAAAGCCTTTTGTTAACGAGCTATGAACAGATCATACACAGAAAGCAGCTTCAGGTTTTTCTTCAATTTAATTGAAGTTACTTAGAAAAATAATCAGGCTTGAATGGCTTTTCCTGGAGGAAGGTTCATGAACATTTCACACGTTTGTTGGCAACGTGGAATTCAGCTTTCTTCAACAGTGTAGTAAGATACAGGGAGAGATTTCTACAACAGGCCCTCAACTGCATACAAATATGTAAAAAAACCACACTTGGCAAAGATGTTAAATTCCATGTCCATATGCTACACTGAGCATGCTCAGAAGAGAATACAGATAGCCTTCTGTACCTGACATAGACAGTAGATGAAATTCATCTGCAAAGAGCCAAGGGCCCAGCTAATTCTAGAAGGTTCTGTTGCCTATTCAGAGGGTCTGGTTGGCTGTAGTGGGGGAACCTCGGGGAGTCATGGAGTCAGTCCTGCTGACAAAGGGGTGGGCCAGTATGAGAGTCAGATACCAGAAGCACACAGGGTGGGACTTGTGTACACATGTATGCATGTATGGTATGTGTATTTCTGTTTGTGTCTTATTGTGTGTTCATGTGTCTGTGTGTGTATATATGTGTGGTTTCTGTGTATATGTATGTCTCCTGTGTGTGTGTGTGTGTGTGTGTGTGTGTGTGTGTATGTGTGTGTGTAGGGCAGGACTGGGCAGAGGAAGCAGAGGCTGCCTGAGGAAGCAAGCAAAGTCCTGGTGGGTTTTGTCATGTTGAAACAACATGGGCTTTGGCAATCATGATCTCACCAGCTCAGTGTGTAGGGCCTTACACACGGCCCTGCAACTCTCTTGGAACGTGGACTAGACCTGTGTGCCCAGGAGGACTGGCCTGAGGGAAGTTCACGGCTCCTGCGGTTCTCTTGTGGCTGCCAGTCACTGACCAGGCTGCTGTGACCAGGCGGAGGGAACTGTGTGTCCCGACAGCAGGTTGCCGCTGCCCAGACCAGCTGGGGTGGACACAGGGTAGGTGTGGGCTGGAGAAGCTACAGGTGGTGAACCTTGAAGCCTGTATTCTAGACTCTTCCATCCAAAGGGGTAGGCTAAATGGAAATGGCCTTATTCTGCCTGACTGTACCTGGTCCTGAATGCAGCTGCATCTTTGAACTGCAGCCAGGAGCTGGATGCCTGCTGCTCCGTTCCTCCAGCTAAGTGCCAGGCATGCAGGAGAAAGCTTTCCAACATTTTCCTTTAAAAACCACTTTCCATTTCCAGATACACTTTACCAATAGATTTCTTTAGCCAAAGACACAGAATACTTTCTACATTCTACAAAATAGTTGAAACAATATATTTTAAAAAAATCATCATCAGAAAATAAAATGTGAACACAAAACAGATCAGGAGGAGAAAGAGTCCCTCATTTCAGACGCACATTGGCGCATCGTTCCCTGAAGGACAATCTTTCTCACTTTAGAGTGAGAAACGGATGAACTACCATCTGGATGCAGCACCGAGCAAGCCTATACCATGAAGAAAAGACAGACAGCAATGCAGAACGTGGAATCAACATGAATTTCCATTTAAACCAATCCCCAAAGCACATGATGAGTGACTCCAAATGGATGAAGAGTGGAGAAGCACTTACTACAAGGGCGTTTACCCCCATTGAACAACCTTTAAGGTTAGGAGTAGGGGCCATTTTGTGGCCTTCTGCCACCCCCACCCTCCATCTTGAGCCCTCTTCTCCCTCCTCCCCCATGCTTGGGAAGGCTGAGGATTGCTGTCTCGGGCAGTATCCAGGATAGAATCATCACAGATAGGTAAAAGCTAATTCATTTTGCAAAGTACCTTGGTTGCTATAAACCAGACGGACGCTATGGGCTGTCCTGTTTTTGCTAATTTGTTTGTGGAGGGATCTGTGGAGGCAGTTTTTATCTTTGCAGACCTTAGGCATGCTAGATCACCTTCCTCAAAAGCTATTGTGTGTAATACCAGCTGAGGCATGATCAGGGTACCCTGGTCGTGCAGCCCAGGAAGTGCTACATTCTGGTGGACTCACAAGGCAGACCATTCAAGGCCCTGAAAAGTCCTGTAGGAACCTGACCTAACTCTGTTTCCTAACAATATGTGCCACAAATCTCTCCAAACTGATATCCAGGGAGTTTGGGCTCTGTGGAGCATATATTAGTGACACACAAACTTCATTAGCAGAGGCTAGCTTTCTGAGGACAGATCCCCCCCTCTACTCCAGGAATGGCCACGGCCTGTCACTCTTTTTGGTCAAACACATGACATAAATCTATCCATCAAAGGTATGGGGTGAAGGCTTAGAAGAAAGGTACCCACATTTTATAAATAGCTGCAGCCAGCCTCGCTGGCTCACATTTCCCTCACATTGAACAAAATCATTTCCTTGGTGAGACGTTGCAGCTGTTGCTCTTGGGGCTTGCTGCGAGCTGACAATACCCTTTTAATAGTTTCTGTGGAATAAATTATGCATTTTGGTTTTCTTTTTAGAATATTCTCACCCTTTCCCTCTATACTGCATCAAAAACTAAACAAAAAGCAAAACAGGCCCCACCCCTCCCCTGTCATTAGAACTATTATCATTATGTACAGCATCTTTTGCCGACTTGGTCATGGGTTCTAAGGGGGATGTGGCTCAAACTTCAACTGAGAAGCATCAGAAATAGCCAGAAATGAGAAGTGGGTTTTGGTGTTCATCAGCAAGGAACAGGAGACAGCGAGTTAAGAGCCCTGGAAGGTTGCTCTGTCCATGCATGTGGGATTGTGTGCATGTGTATATGGGTACCAGGGGTCTACCTCTGACCTTCACGCCAGGCCTTGCAATCTCCAATTGCATGCACTGCAGTCTTTTGGGTGGTGGGCAGGGGAAGACACTTTTATATGGGGATGTGAACTGGAAATGTCAGTAGGAGGCACTTGAGAAATGTTCCCCTTCCCTCACCCATGGCAGACATCACTAATCAGTCCCAGTACTCCTCCATGATGTGCCTGAAGAATCCTTTCTGGGCTTACAGGCAGTCACTACCAATAAACTACAGCAGGCACACACGATCTGAAATATTTCTGCTGTATCTTATGACAGGCAATGAACTTGGGTCACTCAACAAGTTAAGTAGCCTGATCCAAGTGTGTGATTTTAAAATCGGAGCTGTAGAAAAATGTGTATTTGTTGGGGTCACAGACCTTCTGGGTAGTAATAGTCCAGAACCTGTGTAGGACTGTGGGGTTCTGGACACTGTCGAGCTGGATGCTCTGTGTTCACATAAAGCTTCGTGAGGGCCAAGGCTACTAGGTTCACTTGATGCTGTACCCACTGGGCCTGCATTTGGGCCTAGAATGTAGTAGATGCTCAATAAATATCTATTGAATATAAAGTAACAACAGCTACTCGGCCTTCACTAACACCTGGCACTGCCAGTTAAAAATGTCCACAAACCCCTAGTCTATCAAATTGCTGATTTTGGTGAACAGAAATTGATATCATCAGCTCTACCCATGGGTTAAAAAAAATCACATTTCTTTAGTGCAAGGGTCGGCAGTTAGTTTGGAACTAGTCCCACTCTGTTTCTAAGTGCAAGGGCACTTTATTTATTTCTAGCTTGAGTTTCTTGAATGGTGGCATCCATATACATTCCAGCAGCCATCACCATAGGATTCCGGAAGAGGTTAGAAAGAAGATCATGCCCCTAAATGAGCTGTAGTAAAGCACAGACTGTAGATTTCTTCTGGAAAGACATTACAATTCTGCTGCCACAAAAAAGAAACCTATACAGAGACCACTTTAAATAACTATAAATAAGATTCATTAGACTTTATGGAACACACAGTTCGTGAATTCACCATAACACAAGGACACCTTTGAGACAGTGTTGGAGTACCCACTTCTAAAAACAGGGACCATCCACCCCACTCCCCTGCAAAGACAGCTGTCCTTCCCCTGAAGGATTTAAATACGCTCACCATGCCGCTCGCAGCATCTCCCCCAAAGACATATTAATTTACAAAATAACCCAATATCCATAGAATTCTTTTGACAAATAAAAATCTTAAATTAAAAAACAGGATTCTCTCCCTCTCCCCTGTCCCCCCACCCCCACCCCCTTTTATTCCAACTTCAGGTAGTTTGGCACTGAGTAATTGAACATTAAAAAATCCAGTTTGTAGACTTCGTACAGCTGCGTCTGGTGCTCTGAGCTGATGTTCTGGAAGAATTCCGTGGTCATTTCGTCGGTAGTTCTGGTCGACTTTGCATAGGTGGGGAACTTTAGGTAGCTGCTCACACCGGCCAGCTGCAACACATAATTGGAGTCCTCCTCCAGTGTCTCGTACTTGCCCACGAGGTCATAGCGGATGTGGCAGGGGTGGCAGAGCGAATAGACGGTCTGCCAGTGCTCATTAAAGGGCTCCTCCCGCTGGGTGTGGGGGTCGATGAGGTAGGCCACGAACTCCTCGAACTTGACATCATCGCCCTTGCGCAGGGCCTCCTGTGTGGCGTTCTTGCGCTGGCGTTTGATGATCTTGGTGCCGTAGCGCTTGTGGAAGGAGGTATTGTACTTCTGTGTGAACTTGTTGCGGTAGGCTGACACCAGCCTCTCAAAGGGCTCCCGGACAAACAGGAACTTCATGTAGCTTTTCAAGCGGTGGTTGATCTCCGGGATGCTGTACTGGTTGAGGGTCTTCAGGTTGGCGGATACGTGGGCCTCGTTGGCTGGGATCTCCATGGGGTCACTGTACTTGCCCCTCCCAGTCAGGACCATCATCAGCCTCTTCCAGTTGGTGCATGCCACCTTGGGCACATAGCAGTAGATGAGCTCATGATCCTCGTCCACCACCAAGTGCTTTAGGTCGTTGGGGGTTAGTACCCTGCGCTTGCGGCTCATGGCGCTGTTGGCTCTACATGTGTCTGTCACCTGGTCCCGTCTCATCTGGTGCAGGACGGCAGTGTTGGACAGCTCCAACTGCAGAGGGGACAGAAGAAGAAGAACTCAGTGCTTATCTAGAACATTCACACTAGGCTACAAGTGGATCACTGATCCATCCCCTCAAATGGACTCTGTGAGGTACAAAGCAAGCAACTCAGCATGGTGAGGTGAGACATAATTGCTCAGTGTAGGAGGCTCTGGTGGCCTCTGTAGAGGTGAGAGGGGAGGCTTGTGCTCAATTCTGAGTGCAAAAGTTCTCACCACAGCTGCTGCGCTGGTCATTTTAAGTGAGAGTCTTAATGAGGATTTATGTACATCAGGCTGGCCTGTGGGCATGTCTGGGGTGGGGATTGTCTTCGTTGGTAACTGCTGTAGGAAGGCCCAGTCCATTGTGGGTGGCACCAGTCCCTAGGTGGGCCCTGAACCATAGAAGAGTGAAGAAAGTTGGCAAAGCAAGGATGCATTTACCCTCTCTCTGCTCTTGACTGTCGATGTGATGTTTTAAGATCTTGCCTTGATTTCCCCTCAGTGATGGACCAGAATCTGGAACTGTACGCCAAATAAACCCTTTTCCTTCCTTAAGTTGCTTTGGTCAAGGTATTTCATCACCACCACAGAAATGAAGCCAGAACAGTTATTTATCCCCAGCCTAACCCATCCTCTCAGTCTATCAGGGAGAGGAACATCTATTCTACTCTGGTCTCTAACATCTACAGGTTCAGAGATCTCTGTGGAGTGGTGAGACCCAATTTGTTGACTTGGTGCCATAATCTACCCCTCTGGCTTGTACAATGTGGTCCTTTAAAAAAAAAAAAGAAATAGAGCCGGGCTTGGTGGCGCACACCTTTAATCCCAGCACTCAGGAGGCAGAAGCAGGCGGATCTCTGTGAGTTCAAGGCCACCCTGGTCTACATCGTGAGTTCCAGGACAGCTGGGGCTACAGGGAGACCCTGTCTCAAAAAGATCAAAAACACCCTGGTCTACATCGTGAGTTCCAGGACAGCTGGGGCTACAGGGAGACCCTGTCTCAAAAAGACGAAAAAAAAAAAAGAAAGAAAGAAAGAAAGAAAGAAATAGGAAAGGAATTAGTTGTCACCTGGACTTGAGGGTCTGGAGAAACTAGGGGGCTGGGACTATGTGTTGGCTATGTGTTGGGTAGCAGGTGATGAAGTGTCCTGGCTTCCTCCCTGCCCAAGGACAGGTCCCCATTCATACGCTCCTCTTTTGACATCCATGTACCAGGTGTTTTCCCAGCCTCATTCCTACATCTCAGCCATTATCAACTGAGGGGCTGTTTACCCTTTCCTTTTGCCCCAGCATTCTGTGGCTGGTCCCTGTTGGACTCTCCATCTCTACAGATACAAACTTGATCACCCTTAAAGGCCCAACACATTGTCCTGCCTCCCAGTGGAAGGACATCCTCTCCTCTGAACACCAAAGGCTCTTGAGTTGTTCTTCAGCACACAAGCAAGTCTATTTGTTTTCTCAATATCTAGAGTCATAGGTGATTCACAACCCAGAGCCATTGGCTCCTTGGGCCAGATGATGGGTGGCCTAGAGTCCTGAGAATTCAGAGTTGGTAGGATATCCCATCCACCTGGACAGACACGTCAGTGGAGCCCTGGGCTCAGGTGGGACCCATGAAGCTGGCCCTGTACCTCCAGTGCTGAATCACAACCTGTACAATTTACCTCAAAATGTGCACAGGTCACATGCACTGGGGCAAAGACAGGAACTCTGATTTCAGTGAGCCTTGCCTGCCTTGTGTAGAAAGGTGGTTACTTAAAGCAGCTGAGTGTGGGGAGTTGGGCACCTTTAATGTCCAGTACTGTCCTGTTCAGCCTAGGGTATGCAGTACTATAGACTCAGACCCCAGAAACCTCATTTGATCTTCACTGGTATAAGCTCATCACTTCTGTGTTTTCTTCCTCTACTCATTTTAACCAGCTCACGATGATGAGATGGAGTGTCACAGTGTCCCCGAGGCCATTGATGGGCAGGGACCACTCTGATGTCATACAATACAGTGGGACTAGGGTCTCTCTCTCTCTCTCTCTCTCTCTCTCTCTCTCTCTCTCTCTCAATGATTTATCTAGAAAGGCTTAACTTTTTTTCAGAAGCTATGACCAAAATAAAGACATGAAGGTGACAGTGTTCTTACACAGAACTCTAAATCCCCAGAAATTCTATCTGTGGACTCCTTGTAGTCTGGTTTAAGAAACCTTGATTTAGAGGAGCCCTGAACAATTTGGGGAAGGGAGGAATTCTTTTCTTGACTATCACAATAGGGTGGGAGTTTGTGGATCATAGGCTTGACACCCACACATAGGACAATGGTGTGTTAGGAATTGTGATTCCTTTTCTTTTCTTTTTGTCTTTTTAAGACAGGGTCTCCCTGTAGCCCCGGCTGGCCTGGACTCGCTATGTAGATCAGGCTGGCCTTGAACTCACAGAGATCCGCCTGCCTCTGCGTCCTGAGTGCTGGAATTAAAAGTGTGAACCACCCCTTCTAGCCAGGAATTGTGGTTTCTAACTTAAAAATTTGCAAACCTGGTAATGTCACTTCTATGTTCCCCCATCAATAGGATGACAGTCTCATCCCCAACCAGGGCTCTGAGGAGATTAATAACTGTCATAACCACTTAGCAAATAACACGTTCCCTGCACATAGTCTGGGAGCTATCTAAGGGACCTTGGATACCCTAGAGACAGCTTTGGGGACATCAGAAGACAGGGGGCAAAGAAACTATAGCCCTGGCAGTTTGTTCCTTGACACTGAAGGAGAACACTGCTTGTTTCTAACCAAGTTTTATCAGTTTGAGGAAGCACTGACGCTGACAGTGATCTCAGCTGGGAGATGACTCTTCTCTCTCCCCGTCTCTTTCCTTTTTCCTTTCTCAAAAGGATTTGAAGAGAGCATCACAGAGGACATGTGTGCAATACAAAACTGAAATGGGATGCCACAGAGCAGTGTCCCCTGAAGGCCTCATTCCTTGACTCCAAGCAGTCTCTCTCTGTCTCATCCCAGTGGTCCTCTCTCTGGGACGGCACCCCTGGACCAGCATCCCATCCACACTTCCTTATTTTTGCTTAATCTCTCTAAAGACTCTCTCTCCAATTAGTCACATCTTATAGATCTCAGGGATTGATGATCTCACATGAATTGGGGCAGGGGAGATAATTCAACTTAACATCAAGTGCTGCTGTGGCTGTTCTGGTCCAGGGACCACACTTTGATAACCACAGCTCTGTGCTATGTGAGTACAACTGTATTTTAACATCTTTTATCAATTCACAGCCATTGTTAATGACAGAACACATAACCCAGGTTCCCTGTCTGGTGCTGAGTCTCTCCCCAATGGGCCACAGCTCAGTGCATTTCCTTGTGACCTCCACAAAGTATAGATTAGGAAAGAGGAGGGCAGAGCCTAGGATGTCCTGAACACAGCTCCTGGCTCTGGGTTGCATCCGGCATGCTGGATTTGATGTCTATTTTTAATGTGGACATTTAGAAAAGGCAACTATAATTAGTGTAATGACCTAACTTAGGGATTGTTTGAAGACGTCTTTAAAGTTTTACATTTCATCTTAAAAGGAGGAAGAGCCAGCTGCCTTCCACAGTACCTCCTATGAGGTCTGCAGCCTCCTTGGATGTAAGGACCACATGGAAGCATGCAGCACCCACCTCACTGCCTGTGGTCAGGGAGACACAGGGAAACTGAAACCCAGACAAAGAGGTAAACCTGGAAGCTTCCAGTGACTTGCAACCAGAACTGCTTTTCATAACTGTGAGCTTGGGTCCAGCCTCAGTTTTTCAACTGAAAAAATCTGAACACAGGGCTGGGGCGATGGCTCAGCTGCTGAGTTTGATCCCTGGCACCCACTTAAAAAAATCCTGTCATGGTGGTACATGCTTGTAATCCCATCACTGGGGAGACAGATACAAGAGGATCCCTGGGGTTGGCTGGTTAGCTACCCTAGCCTCTTTGGTCAGTTCCAGGCCAGTGACAGACCTTGTCTAAAAACAAAAAAAAAGGTGGCCAGTGCTTGGGGAGCAGCAGCTGAGGCTGTCCTTTGGTATACACATGCACCCACCCCCATTAACACGTTTACACACACACACACACACACACACACACACACACACACACACACACATACACACAGAGGCGGGGGAAGAACAGGCATCCAAATACAACCCCTTCACATTTTTGTGGTACTGCTGTTACCCTGTCTCTGCTGTCTCAGGATTTGAGGAGGGAAGGAGCGTCAGGCAGATGGATTTGTTCTGTTCTATAACATTTTCATCCAGTGTGGCCATTCCTAAACTAGCACAAAACAGGCTCATCATGAGGAAGAGTTGAAGAAACCAGAGCCCTAGGAAAACACAAGCACACAGGTCTACTAGCTGCATTTATTGAGCACCTACTGCATACAAGCCACTGCTGAGCCTCACAGTAGGTAGGTATAGAGGAAGGCATAGAGGTAGGCATAGAGGAAGAAGAGGCTAGCTCAACATCAGGGAGCTAGGCACAGGGCTGGGTTTTTCCTGGAAAACTGCTTTGAGATACTGACTTGTGTGGCTCCTGAGGTCTGCAGACATACCTCGGAGTTAACCACCTTCAGGGCAACCACTAGGGGCTCAACCCAGGCAGCTCATGGGTATGGCGAATTGTAACATCCCTGAAGTCCAGGTCCTACCTCTGACCCAGAAGTCTGATGTAATTGTTCTGACTTTGCCAGCTCTCCTAGGGAATCATGGCTTCAGAGGTCTGCCAAGATGGAAACCATGGCTTCAGAGGTCCCAGAGCCAGCAGCTACGTACTAAGGCAGAGGACTTGACCAAGCTGGAACCCAGCTGTGATCCTGGGCAAGTCTCATGCAGAGACTAGGATTGTCTGTGAGTCACCAGCTGGTGTCCTTCCCAGCTGGTAAGGAGGTGCCCCCTTGGATCCCCTGTTGTCCCCAGTCCAGCTACTCAGTTAAAGGACTCTGGGTACCACTGTAAAAGAAAAGCCACATGGAAACAGCCAGGT